TTATATCATCTTTTTTCAAATAGTGTCCGATCGATTTCTAGGTGATGAGATGTCATCTTTTTTTTTAAATTTATTTCATGTTAAAATTTTATGTTTACTAAATAAAACCTTAGATTGAGGACTGGAATAAGATGTAATAATTTTGATTCCTATCTGTATAGGCTATTCGTATTCACTCAGGTATTCCCCTAATTATAATACGGAGTACTAAATTATTAATACCAAATTTATATAGCCCATCCATGTTAGTAGGGATGGACCCGGGCCGGGCCGGTTCCGGTTCCGGGCCGGGCCCGGGCGGGCTTTTTTTCGGGTTACATGGGCCCGGAACCGGCCCGGGTTGATACCGGGTCCGGGCCTAACCGGGCCGGGCCGGGCCCGGTTCAATGTTTTTTTTTTTTTTTTTTTGACTTTCTTGTTATCTCCCTACCCCCCCCCCCTCACCCCCACGCCCCAAACCTCCCTAAAACACCCAGCCCTACCCTAGGAAAAGAAAAAAAATTGAAAAAACCAAAAAAAAAAAAAAAAATGAACCGGGCCCGGCCCGAACCGCCCGGGCCGGTTCAACAAAAACAGGGCCCGGAACCGGCCCGCCCGACCCGCCAAAACGGGCTAAAAGCCCGGAACCGGCCAACCGGGCCCGGTCCGGTTCGGGCCCGCACAGTAGCGGGCCGGTCCGGTTCCGGGCCGGTTCGGCCCGGCCCAGTCCATCCCTACATGTTAGACTCAAAGTAAATCAAGCCTATATGATGCGGCCCAAATGACGATGCAGCATATTACTCCGTATACAACTTGGGATGTTTTTACTTGGACTGTAATTTGTCCCAGACCGGACCAGACCAGTCCAGACCAGACCAGACTAGTTCAGACCAGACCAGACCAGACCAGACTTGGATAGTTATAAAAATACAAAGAAACCGGACCTTACCAGACCAGACCAGACCAGTTCAGACCAGACCATATCAGACCAGACCAGACCAGACCAGACCAGCAAATTACAGTCGTAAAAACATCCTTGGTAGATTCACCTAGAAGCCATCCAGAAGTAAATCGAACCTCTAATCCACAAACCATCTCATCAAATAACTATTTTGTTTAAACTAACCTAATCGGACTACCATACAGTATACACAACGAATAGATTTTACAGATTTGTAGAATACGATTCATTAGATTTTCATCCATTTTTATATATTAAAATAAATTGATACCTTTTTACAAATATATTAAACAAAATACTTCGGAAAAATATAAATTCGGTTATGCACTAACAGTTATTCGAAGATTCCATAAAAGAAGTGTTATTAGAACTGCGTAAAGCATTTAACCCAACATAATCTCGCCTTTACGTAATCCCATAATATCCTACCTTTGCACCTCTTCTTCTTTCATTGGACTCTGACCTATTGATGACATACAAAGGTGAGATTATTTATATAAGAAAAAAATGGTGAGATTTTTTTATTATTTATATAAGATTTTGAAAGAATGAGTAAGATGAGATGCAAAAGTGGAATTATTCTGGGATTATGTAAAGGTGGGATTATTATGAGAAGACGGGTGAAAGGTGAGATTATTCTTATCAATTTTTCCTATTACAAATTAAACCTGATGAATTTAGAAATAGTCAAATGTGCAGATTTGTTAACCGGTGCGCGACTTTTATTACTGAGCAATAGAAGTTGTTATACCCAAGAAACATGGTCTTTATGGATTCTTAATTTTTTCCTACTTTCAAGCTTAATAAACGAAATGTATGCTTTTTTACAGATTTGTCAAGACGTTTCTGAAATTTGAACTGAAATACATTAGAATTTGTAATTACTAATTATGTCTGACGTCTAGATGAAAAATATTTTCGAAGAGAAACATATCATGGATTCATAGTTATTGACTTATTCTTTTTTGTCAATTTCAGAACTATTCTCTGTTTTGCATCTTTTTGATAGTTTATTTTCCCTTGTGGTTTAAAGACTTTATGATTCAAGTATGTTTGACATTGTACCCAAATTTAACTTTCACATGGTAGCATCATTTTTTGTCAATAATCTATCAATCTCCGAAAGTTAACAGATATGGAGATTTTTAAAAAGTTTTTGATTAAAAGTAACATCCGTTCTAAATTGAAAAAGTAATTTAATTTAGGGAAAAATGGCTACATAACCATAAAAAATAGGTCAAGCGAAGTTAATAGCATCTATTTTATTTAATGAAGTAGATAACACTTTTCTTACTAATATAAAAGTGGTAAACATGTAAATATCGTATCTATCCTCAAACCTAATTACAGTTGGTTACAACTTACAATGTTATACCGCAGATTAATTTTGTTTTCGTAATGGCTAAATTCACGATGGGAGAATACCGTAGAAAAAAACCCAAAGTCTCTTTTGCTACCCTAGATTCTAAAAGGATACAAATACTTTTTTTCAAAAAGCACTAAGAACTCCATTTATTACCAGAATGTCAAAGAGCACTATAATTCCAATTTTACATATGATCAAATATATACTCCGAATATTTTTTGTTTTGTCTTTTCTACTCATGAGAATGGAATTATGGAAGTGCGTAACCCCCAAACACAAAAGTAGAAATATTAAAGCACACACACTCCAAATTTTAAGTATTACGTATCCATTTGACCCTGAGAGTAAATATGATTCACTGGAATTGTTTTACATCAAAATGGTTGAGAATTAAAAGTGAATATAGTGCTTTCTCCATAGAGGTGCAGTGCCAACTTTTGTGGAAGGAAGGTACGGATATAGCGGGATAGTTAGAGTTCGAGAAGGAAAACGTCATAAGATTATATGGGGCATAATTTTATCGTGGGTTTTCTTAAGGGCTATTTAGTTTATTTTTACTAACTCATGATATTAACTTAAAGTTACACATTAAAATGTGTACATACACCCAATTTTCTCTTTAATTTAAAATATGGTCAAATAGGTAAAAAAAAAAAATCTTTAAATAACTACAATCCTTGTTATTGTTTTTGTTCAACAAAGCAACGGGAAAAAGTAGTTTGATTTTAAAATCAAAGCCTTACAATTAATCAGGAAGATAAAACACAATTAGATAATGATGTCTATTAGGAATAATACAAATAGGTCTGTAGGTCTCATAATCCTGAGGTCGAGAATTCGAGCCTCTCTCACCCCACCAAAAAAAAAAATACAAATAGAAAGTCATACCTCTACTGTGAACAACAAAAACATTATGCTAGTTAACTACCATACGTCACATCTAAATGGAAACTTTTTTAAAAAATACTTCGTACTACGTACGTAGGATTCATTTTTCAGCCCCAATCTGCCACCTGAAACAAAAGCTCACAATAAGAGATAGATGTAGTTGTTCATAAAAATACACATGATTTAATAACAAACTCTGTTGAGATAAAACTAATTTTTAATTCATCAACAATACACACACATTGACCATTGTTACGTTCACACATTCACAACACATGCTTTTCCTTTTCATGCATTCATAAACTCTCTGAGATTCATTACCCACGCATTTACATATGTTGTCATAATATTTTTGCTATTTACGGGTGTGAAACCTAAAAAGTCGGACAAGAAAGAGAGAGAAGAAGTAGAATGATTGATCATTTTGGTTGTATTGGATGAATGAAGATGAATGAGGCATTGCATCCGCATTGCATTTATATAGCCACTAATAGAATTTAAGCATTCAAAGACCAAATCTTTGTCTTTTATTTTACACGTACTGAAGGAGATTTCCCCACCAGGTTGAACCAATAGGACAATAGTATTTCAACCAAATCCTACCCACAATCAATTTGAGTCATGCAAACAAACATAACTTTTTTAGTGAACAGTGCCACCCACCATGTTAACCAATAGAAACATACGCAGTTTTTAGTGAACTGTTTTCACCGTTTTGTTGGCCAATAAAAACTGGACAACTTTGATCTCACCAAGTTGAGCAACTATTAAATTCTCGGGCCTTCAAAAATCCACACACAATTTTTTTTTTCAATTATTTTTGATGAAAAAGTGAACTAAACCATGATGTTGACACTTCTTGAAGGGAACCCTATTCATCAAAAATATTTTGCTTTTATATTAGAATAGATTATTAAACCTAATATTTTTTTTACAAAAATTGAACCATAATAAAAAAGTTATAACAATTTAAAGAGAAAAAAGAGATTTCCACATGCATGGCTGCGATTGAAGTAGGGAGGGGGGTGATGTTTATTCATCTTCTCATGTTTTGACTTCATTCAACTGTTAGACTCATATACTATGGTCCACGTATGAATTATGATTTACTCTCTAAATGTTCCATCCATATGTTCTATAGTTCCTTTAAATTGCTCAACGTCCACATTAAAGAGACAATGAGAAGATGAAAAGATCTTTTACATGGGAAGAGAATTGAGATTTCCTGAGAGGTTGAGAAAAAAGGTTAATGTAGATCTTTCCCAGATTGAGCTGGGAAGATGGTTGAGCTGACACCGGTTCAGGCCTTTTTTCGATTTTTTTTGTTTTTCATGGGTTGGGCTGTGTGTTTGGGGGGGTAGGGGGGGTGGGGGTCAGAGGTTAATATTAAAGCAAAAAAAAATGAAGAAGCCCGGGGACCAGACCGGCCCCGGTGGCTACCCGGGGCGGTTTCGGGCCCAAAGCCTAACCCAAAAAGCCCGCTCAGGACCGGCCCGGGACCGGTCCATGCCTACATTTGGCCTCAGGATTTTGACATTCATTTAAATACAATGGAGTGGATTGTCGATTGATGTCCTAAGGTCGAAAGGTTGGAGTGCAAATAGAATGGTAAGTTGGTAACATCTATGGATGTTCAAAATCTTCCCCTTCAAGTTTTATTTTTTAGTTTTTTGGTAATAGGGAAACCCAACCAGGTAAGTCACACTAGGCAAGCTCGGCCGTGGTGTTGGTAGGGGAATTGAAGTCGTGACCTCTAGGTCACTAGCTCACCTAGTCCATCAACTCGGCCACCATTACGGGTTTCAATTTTTATTTTTTTACTCAAAGAGATCTTATAGGCTCATGTTTATGCCATTTTAAAAAAATCTATTAAATCGTAAACGGAAAATGGTAGTTTGATAATACTTACGCTTTTTAGCCCATTTTGATACATTTTCTCGACAACGATGGATGGAAGAGCAACATTCAATAGGCCTAAACTCTAAAGTCTAAACTTCTAGAGAAACAAGGCAAAATTTCAACATCTGACTTATTCCCTTGTGGTATCCTTTCTGGTATCTACATTGCTTCAAGCACCTTTCTGGGTGCCGTTGTCCAAACCAGCCTCCTCGTCTAATGGTTTACTCTGTTCAGCAACTTCAGCCTGTTTATCACCCCTGAAATAAAAGTTTGCAGATTGTTTTTCCTATTAGTGTTGCTCCAGAATCTCCTAGAATTAGTATTAGTATAACAATTAACAGAATTGCATATGTAGAGCTTTAGAGGCATGCAGTTTAGCTTCTTTTTTCCTTTTAATGGAGAGGATGAATTTCATAAACCTCTTCAGATCCTTTTTGTCAAAAGGCTCAATTTGCTTTCAGTTACATATCCCCACATATCTGGTACTAAGGTATACTAATTAACCCCCTCAAGGGGGTTTAATTATAATATAGCATCTCCCTTTTCAGTTTTACTCGCTCCCGTAGATTTTTTATGGAAATTAAGAGTAAAGTTGATGTAAATATAGTAAGGGGTGTTTGGATCTGATTCTTAAAACTGTTTCTGTTACTTCAGGGAGTAGAAGCATAATTTGGAGTGTTTGGGTAAAGGTGCAGAAGTGGTTCTGATGCTCTAATTTACTCCTAGAATCAGTTTTTTTAGAAGCTGGGGAGACCAGCTTCTGAAAACAAATTCTGATTCTGCTTCTATTTTAAAAAAGAAGCAGAAGCGGAATCAGTTCCAAACACCCCTAAATAGTGTATTAAACGTTAGGGTATAAAAAGTGGGAGAGAAGTTGAGAATAGAAGATGAAAAAGAAGGTTATCAGTCTTTTATGAATGAAAAAATAGGAAAAGTTCCCAAAAATGAAAAGTAGAGCAAGTCATAATAAACTTCCATAAAAGAAATTTTGAGTGTATAAAGTAAACGGAGGTAGTATAGTCTAATGGGCTCCCCAGTTGTACCAATCATCTCACATTCTCACACTAAAAGCACTACACTAGGGTTAGGCCGTTGGGGTATCATGAGGACTTGAGAAATTATCATTTCAATACCCAAACAGTACTATGATTGTATTGGGTTTATCACTCAACAGTTCTTTGAAGCAGTCCATATTTTACCCTCAGCCCCATAACTCCCTCAGAAGAAGAAACAGTACTGATCAACAAGGTAATATTTGCATACCCAGAATAGACAATGAGCCCAACAGCAACAGCAGCAAAAGCTACAAAGTACATCCAATCAACCTAGAGAAACATACAGTTTTCAGCATACTAATATTTTTTGAAGCAGCTCATTAACTTCAACAGTTTTATATAATTCATTTCCAACATTTACCCATTATATACACCAGAATATTAAACAAACCTTCTCATGATATGCAAAAATGCGAATACAAACAGCCCACATGTCTGATGTTAGCAAGGACAGGTTCAGCATTGTTGAGCCACTAATCTGCACATGATGAATTTTTGGGATAGTCATTTTATCCGTATCTACAAGAATTCTTTCAGAAATCATAATTCTATTTTAATTACAAAACAAATATTTGCAATATCACCATGTGTTACTCTCATGGTTTGCAATATATATATATATATATATATATATATATATATATATATATATATATATATATATATATATATATATATATATATATATATATATATATATATATTAAAAAGGGCAGGTTGCAAAAAAGGGAAACAAGACTGTAATAGAAGAAAACTATAGAGACCACAAGAAATGTCTTATACATATATTTTTATGGTTTATACATATTTCTACATGTATCATGGATCGATTCATGTTAGCCGACCCCAAAACCTGGATGCTGTTGTTGTATGCATATTTGTACATGTATATACACTACGAAATGATTGATGGGGTCGAGCCCCACTCCAGCCCCTTTGTGAATACCCACTGACAATACAAGCAATAAAAAATGTAGCTACAGTTAAACTAGACTGCCTCCATTGATATCAGTGGACTTGTTAACTAATGCATTTTGAGAAAGAAGCTCAGTGTGTAGCTTTAGGATTCAAATATGAATAGTAAGCTAAGAATTAATTAGTTTTTTTAATTGTACGGGTCAGAGAAACACCGGGCATACCTTGAGTAAGATGGGAACACCTGAGTAAAAGAAAAACATTGCCAGAGAAAATCCAATAAAAGGAAGTGTCTGAATAAGATATTAAAAAGAACATCAATGAACAGAAATAAAGAAAACTTAGTAAAGGCAATATGTAACAATAATGATGCAAATATTATTACAAAACAGAATCCGAATTTAATAATCAGCAGGATGTTAACACACTTGTGGGAATTAGGTGTCTATATAATCATATTTCTTATTTAACTGGTAATTTAGATGTTTGTATTAGTTTAGTACTTTACTTGCTGCAGCAGTTATATTTTATTGGGCTTTGGATGCTCTCCTTATATTAGGAAGTTTCTCTAAGAAAGTGATGGATCTCAACAAACCAATCCCTAGGGAGTTAGGGATCACAATATAATCACATACATGTTCTTCATTAAATAGCCTGAGATTTTTCTAGGTCCACCACATCTGGTTCTGTTGCCGGTATCATGGGCAATTTTCTTTCACTTAGACCTGAATATAATGCTCTATCTGATGTAATAGCAGAACTCAAACAGATGACAGATTTCTTAGGAAATAATTCTCCACCTGAACTTCATTCTCTGTGCACAGTCCACAACACAAGACCTACAGGACTGTTCCACAATTGTGTCCATTGACACTCTGTAGTTCATTATCGGCTGGCAGCATCAACTATCCAATACACAAAACCTTAGTCTTCTACAAACCAGCAAACCACGGCCATCCCATCTCCTCATGGCTCACACCAAACTACCCTTTCCCTCTTTTGATAATAGAGGAGTAATTCGCATCAAGTTATGTCACTTAATTGGGACATATAAGTACTTTGGTCAAACCACACTAACAGATTAGATCGTTCAACCGAAAGTCTTATTGATCTTTGTTCTAACTTTAATTTTCCAGAACTGAGATTCTAACACTCTCCTCAAGTGGACAATGTGCCATTTTAAATCTAAGTGATTGGTCACTTTCAAAATGGATTCTCTACTTCCGTGAAACTAAAATTCAAAATGCAACGACAACACTTAAAGTGCCAAGTCTGTTGGATTGCAGACAGAGATCAAGCAGTGGAATCAAAACTCGAATGAAGGCTCTGATGCTCATATATTCATATTATATACGATATTGCATTACAGAATATTTACAATAATTCCAGATTAATGAGGAAGTTTGAACTTGGTGATGCCAGATAGCACCAGAAAAAATTATCGCTCTTCTATAGGTATTCACACGCACACACATGTTGTGTGCTAGCGCTCTGTTTCCTCTCAGAGTCAAATTGCATGTGCATGTGTGTGTATTTATATAAATGGTGGCTACACTACTCCCTCAAAATAAAGAAGAGGAAAGGGGGTTTTCTAGCTAGAAGTTCTTCAGTAATTTCGGGTTAGCTAACTAATGTCATATTTCGAAATTAATAATTTGTCTCACTTAGGGGAGTGGCCCTGAAGGTTTTCACAACGTTGGTGGTGGGAAGAAAAGTCCTATTTCAGCCCCACAACCATAAGCAGTATCTAGTAATGCATTATGGCCACCTAAGTTGTATAAATGTCTATTTATCCGACATAACCTATTTAATGATATATAGTGAGATTTAATACTCTTTTGGGAAATTATATCTTGATTGAAACAAAGTTGGGTATGTCTCATCCTTGTTCCTCCCAATCCGTGTTTCTAAACTTCCAAGCAAGATTAATCGTAAACAAGTGACACTTCATTTAGTTATGGTCATGTTAATGCTCTTAGATAAAGATTCACTGATCAAGATGGAATTTTTACCAAGGTTAACAAGACTACTCTAGTACTCTGGGTGTCTACAGAAGAAGAGTTTGTGCCTTTGAGAGGATGCAAGTTTTTGAATGGGAGGGGTTACACAAAATTTGTTTCCAATGTAGACAATATGGCGAAATACAATTAAGTTAATCAACACAGTTTGGATCTATTTGAGTTTTATATCAAGAAGAAACTTATTGAAGATGAAACATAATAAAAAAATTCCATTTAATCAAAGTAAGCCTTAGAAAAGAATGCAGAGTTCATCATAGCATCCAGAATAAAAGATCCATATAGTGACCTAGACACCTCCACCTTCTACGCCATTTAGAATTTCAAACAAACAAGGGTATTGGTAAAGTTGGTACAGATAATGATATAATAATCCCAATTGGGTCAAAATGTCAAATATTATGGCATGTGTTTTCATAAATTGTTTTTGCATGTGGAGGGATGTACACTTCTATGATCAAGTGAGCATGAGTGCATGACATGGACAAGTAAGGGATGGCCAAGGACTAACCGATCCTGCTGTCCAATGAATAGATTTCAATTCACTGCGCTCAAGTATGCCTCTGTAGGATCAGTTAAGAATAGCTCGTGCAATATGTAATCAAATAGGAAACAAAATTAATTCCAAAAAATTGGTCGAGTTAAATTCAACATGAAAATTATATGTTCATTAAACCAAGCCAAAAAGATACATTTGGCATGCACTGACAATGGCACCAAAGAGACCCAAAAATGCCATGAGTTCAACCATATCAGCACTTCTAACAAAAAATTCCTGCATTGATGATTTAACAAGAAAGTACGTATAAGTGAATGACTGGATAGCAGGCTAAAAGAAGGTCCCGAGAAGAGAGTGAAAAAAATGAAACTAGCTGTTAGGAGAGGACAAAAAAAATGAGGTATTCTTTCAATTATAATAATTGAAACTTTAGATGGGTGTTCTCCATAATTGACTGGTTGATATTTGTAAAGAGTATGACATAAAATGTAGAGGGTTTAATTAATAATTTTACTTTATGAAAGGTTACTTTTATGAGCTCGAGCAACCGCTCCCTTTTTCACATCTCACTAGTAATAAATGAAACATTCCATTACCAAAAATATAGTATTTTAGTTCAAAAAGTGAGCAAGTTAATCTACAAGTGCCATTATGAACATGCTCTAAGTTTTCTTACCTCACTGACATTACTCACAGCATACAATGTGGCTCCAGCAAGTATAAGTAAATCTCCCTTGAGAGGGTTGCTCCCACCTATATCCAACAGAGGGAACACATTTCAAACACTTTCTCGTAATACAACGAAGCTTTGAGAAGTGAGAACTCATGTAATAATACGGACAAGATTTTAAATTATACAGAAAAAAGCCAAATGAGTTTACTAGGTATATAAAGAAGAATATTAATTCTCCTGGAAACATTATTGAAGTTGAGACAGAATATTTAAAGCAGTTGATTCAAGGGATATCGATATAGTTATACGTGGAGAATACCAACAAGAGCCAAAATAAACTAACTGTTTCGGGCATGAAAGTGAGCACAAGCACATTAACATTGACTCATACTTCTGAAATTACTTACTTGATCGATCCGCTGCATGTACATCTGAGAAGATGACCAGTACAAGACCAGCAACGCAAACAAAAACACCAATGAACTTTCCGATTTTGTATTTTGTCTTCAAGAAAATCCAGGTGAAAAGCATAACACATGGAATTGCCCAACAATCCAGTAGCATGACACTCGTTAAGGATGTGTATTGATAAGATTTCACCACTGTAAATCAATGCATAAGGTTACGTAACTGGAGGAGTATCAACATAAAACCAAAGTTGGACAGATCGACTTGAGAGCAGTGAAGACTGAAGATCTTTCGTCAAAGGATTAAATGCTAGTAATATGTTCTTCAGTTTTTACACATTAGTAATAAAAAAAAGTATATTGAGCAGTTCTTCAGTTCTTAAAGCAAATGTTAATATTACTGAGCGAGGAAGCGGTCCAGCTCAGCTGGTCGCCGACTCACTCTCCCTTACGGGAGGTCCCGGGTTCAATTCTCAATGGAGTGAGATTGATCCCAGTTTACCCCAGGCCTCCCAAACCCTCTCTCCCTAACGCTCCCTGGGGTAAAAAAAAAAGAAAGAAAGAAAGAAAATGTTAATATTACTAAGCACTTCCATAGAATATTTAGTAATAAAAAACAAACACATATTCAGAAACTTTATAATGAGAATAAAATTTGTGATAAATTCGATTAGACTTAAAATGTAAGGCTTATAAAGCGCATGCAACACAAATTCAATGTTTTTAAATAAAAAAGGACGTCATGAATTTAGTTACCGAGAAAATTAGCCTCTACATCAACCAACCCAAGAATAACATAATAATACCACTTTGCCTGCAGGGAAATAGTTAACAATGAATAACATAAGTATACAGCCTTAAAATGAAAACTAAAAAATCTGAGGTGTAAAAACAAACCTGTTAAGCGTGACTGCGAGATGAATAAGTTTTACATTACTAATATAATTTAATATTAAGACATAAAAAGTATATCAAATTATCCATTTGTCAAAGTTGAAAACATGAAAATCGGCCAAATTCAAAAAGGAATAAATGAAGTTAAAGTTTACAAATAGGGGTATAAATATGAGTAGAGTAAGAATTATCTCCACGTTCTCATATAAAAGCCTTATTTCCTCTTCCTTGGCTAGCATTAAGCCACCAATTGCAGTTTCTTCCAATTGCCAACATACCCCTTTGACTATTAATATATTTAATTGACTATTAGTAACAACTATAAAATTCATATTTTGAAATTTTACATCAAGATATATTTAACAATATTTTTCACACTATTTTTTTAAAATACATTTAATGCATTACTTAATATGCGGTCATAGTAGAATATGTGAATAGTGTAAAAGTCAAATTGTTGCAATTATTAAAGAACGGAGGTAGTATATATTATTCATTATTCAACTCCGGTCGTCTTTTCGTAACGTATTTCTTAATCAATTATATGTTTTTAAATATTTTATAGAATACGGAGTAGAACATTTAAAAAATTTCAGATACAAAATTTTATTTACTAATACAAACTGAAAGTCCGAAATACTAGATAAAATTATAATTAAATTATAAAAAGTCATAGTCAATTATTTTATAATTAAATCATATTATGTCTGTCCCATTAGGCATTGCCAACTTTGTGTTGAATGTGAAACAACAAAAGAAAAAACGGTGTGATTGAGTTTTGTGAAGAGGAGAGAGAAATAAATTGAACAACAAATTCATTACTTTTAAAGGAAAGTGGTAAAACTTTTGGGACAAACAAAAAAATAAAGTTTTCAAAGTCCAATGGGACGGAGGGTGTATAAGAATTAGACACATGAAACATAATACTCTTTCTACCCCATTTTAATCTAATTTTCTTCTCTGTCAACCCCAAGTATTCTTGTTTTATCCTTTTAAAGAAATACCTGTGGGGTTGAGATTGGTCTTTTCCTTTCTAAATAAATCCCAGCTACATTATTACATACTTTAATTTTGCAGCTCCATGCAAAGTCAAAGTGGGAAGATTAAATAGGGGTGGGGAGTAATGTGTACTGTATCACGTTTTTTCTTTCCATGTACTAGTAATATTTTTCTATTGTTGCATTATACAATGTATCTGTTTATTCTTTTTATAATGTTTTTGTCTTTCTGATGAACTGGAATAGTGAAAAGCAAGTTTCTTCTTTCAATTGTTATTTAAAAATCCAGTCACAGTTTTAGTAACACTAAAACTTCAAAAAAAGGAGGTAAGGACAGACCTTGAGCGGCTTCTTTCGGTAAATCATGATTCCTCCATAGAATAAGGCCAATAGCACATAATTTAGAAAAGACTGAGAAGTGGGGGCATTAATTCCTGCGAAAAACGTCAAGATGAAAGGCAGCTTAATACTACTACTCCTCTATTGCCACTGCTATAAAGCCAGAATCAGAACATAATTCAGAGGGTAAAACACTAAAACCTTTTCTGGCGAGGTCTGAGGATAGGAAGCCGGTAGAAGTGACTAGAAGAGACAGGAACTGTCCCAAGCCCAGACTCAGCAATGTCTTCTTGTTCCAGAATTCCTTCAAGGAATTGCCCATTTCTCCGCACTCCCACGTACTACTGGCAATACAGGAAAACTCGAAATTAACGCATTATTAATGCATGATTAACTACCCGAGTTAAAGAGAAAAGATCAAAGGAAAGTTTTGAGCGAATCAATCGTACTCGGAATTGCAGCGGAATTGAGGTTTGACGGAATAAAAATGTTCCTTGTCGATGGGAGGGAGAAAAAGAGCCAACTAGCGCCGGCTGGCGGCTGCAACGAATGTCGGCAGATTCTCCTTTCTAGCTTTTTGAGGCAATATATGCGGAGCAGAAGAGTTCTAATTTACTAAAAACTACACCAAATTTGAAATTCTGATTGAATAACAATTAACAACTCGGCGGGAATTTATGGAAATGGGCAGCTTTCATGGCAGCACAATCGTCTCGCTATTGATAGAGAACACAGGGCATGACTGATACCTTTCTACGTGCCAATTAGAAGTCAATAAGGTCAACAACATGCGTAGATACTCTCTTGTTCACATTAATTAGTGCAACTCATAAATACACAAATACTCCTTTCACCCCATAAATTTTTTTTAAATACTTTTCATTTACTTTTTTTTAGATGTCGAAAAGGATTATGGGATAAAATTCATTTATGTTATTCTTATTCAGAGCATGTTAGTAATACCCTACTCTCGATTGTATGAATGATTTTGTTGAAATTTATCAAATTCTGACTGAAATGATGGAATTGTCTGATTCTGCTGATTTAAAAAAATATTACATTTAAAACATAATTTATTAATAACATGAAGAAAAAGTATATGAAAAACAACTAAAATGGTCTTCTATATTAACTTCAGTCAATAAAGATAGGGAATTAACTTCAACCTTACGTGTATTGCCAAAGAAAATGGTTGATCTGATAAGCGAATAACATCATCACCAAACGAGCTCTCAACCACTTACTTAAACTCGGATCTAAGTCAAACCGAAAATAATTTTATGGGATGGAGAGACTAGATAACTAATAATAGGTATATAACTACAATGCTTTAAGGATGAGAGAATATATAAATATAAGGATGAGAAAATAATTTTATGGGATGGAGAGACTAGATAACTAATAATAGGTATATAACTACAATGCTTTAAGGATGAGTGAATATAACTAGATAACTACAATGCTTTATGGGATGGAGAGACTAGATAACTAAATATGCTTTAATGTCTAGCATAGTCTTGATTTTTCGTGGTGCTCCTTGGCGGCTTTAAATTCAAGGTTTTCAGTTTTGGCAGGTACTAATCAATCGCTTGATCGATCCACAATTGTCTGATCAATCGACAGGAGCAGGGCGACAAGGATGACAATGACCATACAACGTTAAGTGCAAGGAAAATTCGCTATGTACACAGCAGTCTACACAGCACAAAAAGCCCTCACCCCCTTCTTTTCCACCCTATTAACCCCTCCCCTCCTTCCTTTCTTTTCCTTTTTTCCTCTCCTTCCCTGCACCCAACTTCCTTCTCCCTCTTCCTCTCTTCTTTTTCTTTTCTCTCCCTCCCTGCGCCCAACATTCTCCAGCCTCTTTTCTTCTCCCTCGTTATCTTCATTTCTTTCCTCTTCCTCTTTCCCTCTTTTCTTTTTCTTTCCTCTCTTTATCTCCCTTTCTCCATCTTTTTTCTTCTCTTTTCCTGTTTTCTTCATTTCAAAAGCTCTCACTTTTTTTGCAGATCTAAATCTGCTCAGAAAAATAGGAGAAGTCACAACTTGAATCTACTTTGCTCTCTCAAATATTATTCATGAGATAACACTTTATTCATATTTTTTGTGCATTTAGGGTATATATGTTCCCTTTTTAATTTTGTATATCACATATGTTGTTATGATGTTGAATACTAGTACTTATTACACTATTATACTAAAGAGATTTGTGATGTTTATCATTTAAATTTTTGTCTATATCGCAGACAAAATATAAAGAATTGTCTGTTAAATCGATTTTCACAGACAAAATATAAAGATTTATTTGTATCGCAGACATTTTAGATTGTAATTTTTCATAAAGTGTATGTGATACAGACATGTTTTTTTATTTTTGTCTGTGTGAAAATCGATTTTCTTCATAAATCACCACTCAATTTGCCTGTGTGGCCGGTCAAATTGTCTGTGTACAGACAATTATGTGAGTGTATCTTGTAAAGTACCAATAGTTTGTGTGTGTCTTCTCTATGACTTCTTTATTATAAAGTGTCTGTGATACAAACAATTTTTTTTAATTTTTGTCTGTGTGAAAATCGATTTTCTTCATAAATCGCCACTCAATTTGGCCGTGTAGCCGGTCAAATTGTCTATGTACACACAATTATGTGAGTGCATCTTGTAAAGTACCAGTAGCTTGTGTATGTCTTCTCTATGACTTCTTTATTGTAAAGTGTTTGTGATACAGACAATTTTTTTTATTTTTGTCTGTGTGAAAATCGATTTTCTTCATAAATCGCCACTCAATTTGCCTGTGTAGCCGGTCAAATTGTCTTTGTGCATACCAATAGCTTGTGTATGTCTTCTCTATGACTTCTTTATTAATGGGGTTTGAATATTACGTAGTACTTGTTTACTGTCAAGTTAATGTATCATTTAAATTAAATATATTTTAACTAACAGAAGCTTTAACCATGTGACTGCTTCAGGGACATCTTCTACCTCTTCATGACCAATACTAGTATCTTGAAAGCCTGTGATTGAAAACTATGTCTCTTTTTCAATCGGGAGAAAGACAAGTGATATTTCAAATCGTGGCATGAAATGGATTCAGAAGGTCAAAATGAGAGATTTAAAGCAAATGATAATTACACACTTCATTTTTGTAATTAGTTCTGTTGCACAGTTAATTATCGATCTTGTATTAAAATGATAGTGTATTTAAACTTTCTTTTTTGGTCACAACCAAATATAGTTTGTTTCTAAGTGTATTTATAAAGATAAGTGTTAACCAATTGTTTGTATACAGATAATTTCTAAACAAGCTTGTTTTGTCGGTGTGTAGACAATTTCAATAAAGTTTGTGTTTGTGTACAAACAATAGTTGTTTGTTTATATTGTGTGTGCATAATTGTTCAAACCATAATTGTTTGTATAAATATTCTTTTTACCTTAATAGGTATATGTTGAAATAAGTTATTTGTGTTAGCGTTCAAACTATTGTTTTATATTTTTTTAAATGAATACAAAAAAATTGTCTTAGCCACAGACAATTTTTTGATAAGTGTCACAAATGATAGACTTTAAGAAACAAATAAAGTGTGTGCACAAAAATATATGCATTGTTATGGTAAATTTCATCACAACTATTGTCTGGGCACAGACAATATTTTTTTTCATCTTTACTTCTTCCTTCAAACAAAAAATAGAAAGAAAAGTATCACAATAATCCACTACTGGAAAAATGAAAAAGCTAGGACCCTGAACATAAAAAAGCATTATTAAACCCCGAACACAATTTGTTAGAGATAATACTTGAAACAAAACTTGTAAGTGCAGTGTCTGTATTTGTTATAAAGACTCGTGAAGTTGTCTATCTGTCTGTAATTGATGGTTAATTATTTTTTATCTGTTTTGAGTTGTCTGTATTTGTTTTGACTGTATGTAATTTGTGATGTTTATTTTTGAGATGTAATTAGTATTACGAGACAGACATTAAGTGTACACATACAGACAATAAGTATACACATACATACATTACTTTATTATGAATTACTATTTTGGCATATGTTTCATTAAAAAGACAGACAATACGTATAACTAGATAGACAATAGACAACCCACAAATTACATACAACTCACAATGAAATGACAAACAACTAAATATGAGTTACAAACAACTTCCCGACTCTTATGGACACCTCACAATAACATGACAGACAAGTCATTACAGAAAACTCAAAACAAATACAAACAACTAATAAACAAATGACAAACAATTAAATATCAAAATAAATACAGACAACTAATTACAAAAATGAAGTGTGCAATTAGCATTTGCTTTAAATCTCTCTTTTTTGACCTTCTGAATCCATTTCATGCCACGATTTGAAATATCACTTGTCTTGCTCCCGATTGAAAAACAGACATAGTTTTCAATCACACGCTTTCAAGATACTAGTTCCATTTGATTGCTCTAAGAATGTGGTTGAGTCTAAATGAATTTATAAAACTAAATATCATTCAGATGGTTCAATTGAGCGTCATAAAGCACGTTTGATTGCTCAAAGTTTTAATCAGCAGGTTGGGGTAGATTTTTCTGAAACATTTAGCGACAAAAGTATTTACATGTTTGTGTAGTTATATATATAAAAGAATTAAAGCATGTCTATATATAAAGGTGTATTACTACTGGTGATCATTGATACTACCTCTGTCCCACTAACCTTCGAGTTGGAGGGAGATAGAGAGGAGGAAATTAAATTATGGTTCAGTTTGTTGGTGAGTAAGACAGAGAAAAAGGTAGAGAGAGATAGGAAGAAAAAAGAAATTAATATGAAATGGAGAGAAAAAATGGAGAGGAGTTGCACTCGTGAGGAGAAGGTGCCATTATTAGGGAAAATGATTTATGCGGTTGATATTGAACTAATAAAGCAAAAATAAATTAAGGATGATTTAGAATCAGATAAATTTTAGATAATTTGGTACGCGTCAATCTGAGTGAGACAAGCTGAAATGCAAGATGCACAATCTTAGAGGGACACATGGAGTATCATGTAATTTTTTTCTCCTATTTAAAAATATAGAATTTGACGATTAATTTGAATCTAGAATTAAGAATTTAATATCGTGTCATAGAAGTAATATTTAGTTTAAAAAGTTGACACCACTTAAATGAATCTTTGGTTGCGTCCTTGTTTGACGAGATGAACAAAGAAGATGAAGTTTTGATGCTTCATCCCTCTACTGTACCGTTGCCTTGAAGTGACTGCACGAGTAGGGTTTGGCTAATTGTGACTCAAACATTTGTTTACATTGATATGATTTGAGGAAGAGCTTATATGATGATTCTTTACGCACATTTGTAGTGATTCCTTATGCGAACCAGATTAGAGTATTAAGGGGCGCGTGAGATGAGCAAAAGAGTCGAGAGCCATTACAACCAATTTTTTTAAGGAAAATCTGTTTGTACAATTTTTGTATACACACATCTTCATGAATGAAGGGAATTCGTTAAAAACTCAAAACATATAGGGAAAAGGGTCAAATAAGGCCTTACACTGTTACAGAACCGTCGCATAAGATCATGTACTCAATAAAGTGTCATATAAATACGTTTACTTATAAATACCTCCCTCGTATTTCTGATTTTAGCGTACGTTTGACTATCACTTTGGAATAGCTTATAAGGTCGACGTGAAATATTTGGTCACAATTGACTTAAATACAAGGCAAAAATATCGACATTTAAGCTAAAATTAGGATTATGAGGTTGTCACAGAGTGTTTTGACTCATCCGATTGTTTTTTATAAGCAGACGTTTTTATATGACAATTTATTGAGTACATGACCTTATGTGACAATTTTGTAATAATATAAGACCTTATTTGACCCTTTTCTCAGACATACTCTCTCCGCCCCTTATAACTTTGTCAACTTTCCTTTTTTGGATGTTCCATTAACTTTGCCACTTTCCCTTTTATGTAAAGAATTTGTGATTCCAGTTAATTTTCTACCATCTGCACAAATCTCAACCACACATTTTTTACTTTATTAATCTACGTGTTGGTCAATTTTGACAAAGTTATTAGGGACGGAGGAAGTATATGTGTACCCAATCATGCATTTACAAAAAAAATTGTAAATGACACGGTACACCAAACACACTTCTTTTACAAAGATACACATGTACATCGTATCCCATACGTATGGTATACGCAGACGGCAGACTGTAACATCACAACCTATACACAATGTGCGGTTTGTGGAAAAAACCGCACATTGTATCTTCATAGTTGACGGCTCACCCATCGCGTCCCCGGTGTCTTACCATAAAACCCACCAACACCCGGGTCACTATTTTCCAAAGAAAATCATTCTTTTTAGTTTTTTTGTTTTCTTTTGTTTTTCGTAATCTGCTTTCCCACAGACAAGCAGCTGAAATGGAGTAGCAGCCATAGGCCCCGAGCAATCGCTCTCTGAATCCTCTCTGTACTTTTTGTTTTGCTCTTCTTCCACGGTCAAAACACCCATTAATTTATTAGATTTGCTCGTTCTTTCATCTCAAATAGCTGTTCTTGTTGGCAATCGTGCTCTTATTGAAGCAGAATACAAAATTATTTTGCTTTTGATCCATATGTTTTTGGCCAGCTTGAAAATTTGACATTTGATAGATTTGCTGGACATTTGGTCTTGCTTCTACCTTCCCATATCTATTTTTGTATGGTTATTATAAGTTCTGCGGCTCAAACCAGAATTCCGGTGCCTTCAAAACGGCAAACAAAATGTCGGCCGTTCCGATTGAGCCCGCATTGTTACCCACGACGCCGTCTCACTCTTCCTCCTCTTCTTTTGTTCAATCTCCTCAAAGGAGCCTGTGTTTGGGCGATATGAGAGGGGTACGATGGCGAATTGAGTTGGGGATTTTACCCTCATCTCTCACTTCTTCCATGGTAGATCTTCGCCGGGCCACTGCAGACTTACGAAGAAAGTAGGTTTGTTTCTTTTGTTCTTAATGGGATTTTTATGCGGCATATGCTTATTTCTCATTGTTTTATGATCAAGTTTCATTTTTTACATCAGTTCGATGATGCAAGTTTAGATGATTTCAGTTCTTGAAGTTGCATAATATTTTCCTGCTTGCATATCTGAATTCGTTCTTTATGCAGGATATATATGATTCCTCTAGTGTTAATATTTAGTACTAATACTAATACCCAATGAGTCCACCACATCAACATTCAACAAGTCTAAAATCTCCTGAAGTCATCCGCCAAACCATCTTTTTTAATTCTTTTGTGCTACGTTGAAACAAAAGAAATCATCATGTCACTCAAACATGTAGCCTTTGTGCACTTATATTTAGAGTTTGATCTAAATCTCAATGCATAGTTTTGAGTTCTTACTGTGACACACGTTTCCTATGAACATCAAACAAGTCTTAATCCCAACTCAGTGAGCTCAGGTACTGAGCAGTAGATAAATAAAGTACACGAGGTCAGATACATGTGAAAGCGAGTCAGTATTAGGTATTTGTAGCTTTAACGTATATGCTGTTTGTCCAGCTATGCTGCTATCAGGAGACAGCTTCTCATTGATCCACATGTATTCAAGGATCGAAGTAACTCTCCAGATCTTGTTATGGACAATCCACTATCTCAAAACCCTGGTAGGATATGTTTGTTATTCTTTAGCTTCCCTTACTATTTCCTAAACGAATTTATCCCTGACACTGATGTTTCTATGGTCTTGCTTTTGTGTCCCTAGCATTCATAGAGTTATACATTAATTCAAGTTTGATTTTGATGGTTATGCTGCAATTGTCTGTAGATAGCATTTGGGGTCGCTTCTTCAAGAATGCTGAGTTAGAAAGAATGGTTGATCAGGATTTATCTCGCTTATACCCTGAGGATGGTAGCTATTTCCAAACCCCTGGATGCCAGGCCATGTTGCGGCGTATTTTGCTTCTATGGTGCCTTGGACATCCTGGGTATGGTTACAGGCAAGGTATGCTAAGTATCCATTTAATGGATACTTCTGTCTTGTTATCCGTCTTAACTTGAATGCAAATTGTATCTCTTTTCTTTGAGAAATTCAAAATTATTTGATTCGATGTAGTGCCGTTCAATTTCTTCAACTAATATTTCACCTGCCTTAATTCATTCAATGTGGAGCTTCATTTCAAATTTATTTGTCAAATCATTTTCATTAACAAATGAGCAACTGTCATCGTTATAATACTTTCATAGAAGAAAAAATATATGAAAAGTTGGTGTTGTAAAATATGATGTTGTAAAATCAACATCTACATCATTGAACATGGCCAATTATTTGTTCAGTATCCAAAATTTTGTGAAGGTTAAGTCATTTATTCTCAAACTCTTTTTCTCTTTCTCATCATTAAGTGCTACAACTTTTCTGATGTGGTTTGCAGGAATGCATGAACTGTTGGCCCCACTCTTATATGTTCTCCACGTTGACATTGAACATCTCTCGGAAGTGAGGAATCTTTATGAAGACCACTTCACCGACAATTTTGATGGTTTCTCATTTCATGAAAATGATTTGACATATAAATTTGATTCCAAAAAGTTCTCGGAATCTCTTGGAGAAGAAGATAAATCTGTCAAAACTCCAGTCAAGACTAGTAGTCTTGGTGAACTTGATCCCAAGATTCAATCCGTTGTTCTATTAAATGATGCATATGGTGCTGAAGGCGAGCTTGGTGTTCTTTTGTCTTTGAAATTTATGGAGCATGATGCTTATTGTATGTTTGATGCTTTAATGAGTGGTGCTGGTGGTGCTGTTGCTATGGCTGAATTTTTCTCCCCTTCCCCGTACGGGAACTCACAAACTGGCTTGCCCACTGTCATCGAAGCTTCTGCTGCTCTATATCATTTGCTTTCTCAGGTTGACTCATCTCTCCATAGCCACCTTATTGAGCTTGGTATTGAACCCCAGTATTTTGCACTACGTTGGTTCCGTGTCCTCTTTGGGCGTGAGTTTGCACTTGAAGACCTTTTGATTATCTGGGATGAAATATTTGGATGTGAAAATATGAAGTTGGAGAACTCCACAGAAAGTCAAGGGGACTTTGGCTGTATTGTGCTGAATTCATCTAGGGGGGCTTTCATATCTGCTTTTGCGGTTTCCATGATATTAAATGTGAGATCTTCACTACTTGCAACAGAGAATGCTACTGCATGCCTGCAGAAGTTGCTGAATTTTCCAGAAGATATAGATTTGGACAAGTTGATAGCAAAGGCGAAATCATTACAGAGCTTGGCAGTGGATGCCAATAAGTCGACTCCATTTCTAAGTTATGATGGAATTTACCAGAGAAGCAGGTCAACATCAGTTAGAGGTCATAGCCATTCATTGGATTTAACTACTACTCCTTTGAATTTGCTAGCTGAAACCTACTGGGAAGAGAAGTGGAGAGTTCTGCACAAGGAAGAAGAAAACAGGAAATGTATTGAACGGACCCAAGTTCCGGCTCACAAGAAGTCTTGGTCTGAGAAAGTTAAAATGCGCCTGTCTAGAACTGAGTCAGACCCATCTCCATCTACGGTTGATGGTGTAAGAGAAGTACCAAAGTTAGCTGTTAGAAGAAGTTTGTTAAAAGATCTGGCTCGGCAGCTTGGGTCAGATGGAGATAAATATAACCTGGTTCATGAAGAAAATGCAGGCCAGAGGGATTTGGTTGATGCTAATGGACAAGACCGAGGTAACATAGATTTCACTTGCGCATCTGAGAAGTGTTTCAGTGCAAAGACTTCTAGTCAACATGATTCTTCTTCTTCTGACCCACCTAGCCCTATTAGTGATAATAATCATCAGGAGATTGGATCAGATAGAAGCAGTGTTGCATCAAATTCGTCTGTCGGGGACAATAATGTTGAAGCATCCAGGCCTAACTTAGAAGGATCTCCTCTTCCTCCAGAAGGGTTTTTTGTGAAACCTGAGCAAATTGATGAATCTGGGGGAAATTCCACAGCTTTCTCCAAGGAACGGAAGTTTTTGTCTGGAAAATTTAACTGGTTTTGGAAGTTTGGCCGGAATACTGGTGAAGGGACATCTGGAAAATATAGTGGCTCTGAGGTGGCCAAAGCCCTCCCGGATGCAAACAGTCAGAACAATCTGGGTGCATCTTCTACAACTCATGAATATGATTGTAACGGAACTAGCAAAGGGGAGAGTATAGACCACAATTTATTAATTTCATTGAAACATTTGGGCAGTTCCATGCTTGAAAATATTCAGGTATTTTCCATTTATATTCTTATAGTTAGAGTTCTCCACATCCAATTGAGATTGTTGAAAGTTAAACTAAAAGATACTACACATGTGTTTGTTCCTTTGGACATTACAATGCCACACTAAAATAGGTACATAATATAGCAGGCAAGATACCTGAATGATATGCTATTGTGTGCTTATATTTAGATGTGATGTGTATCAATTGTAGAATAGTTGTAAAGTGATTATAACATTCCTTTTCAAGCTAGAGAAGTAGACCAGATACTCCAAGCTTGTTACAAATATATTCACAGGCCTTCTAAAGGATTTAGATAAGGCATAAACAGTTGATCATTTGAGCCAACTAAGGTAGTGTGTATATCATTGGAAGCAACCTTTTTGTGAACATAAGTGACAATCGAGCTCGACGTGTTTAGTTCATTTTTGAAAAATTAAGATTTGAAGAAGTAAGTAGTCCCGATTAATTGTCACAGATCATCTTAGTAGGCGTATCACCTATGTTTGCAGAACTTTAGCTCAGTAAGAGAATTTTTACCCACGACAATTTGCATGCCCCAATATCTATTGCTTGTACTCTACATCCGTGCTTAGAAGATCATCTCTAATCTTGCATCTGCTTTATGGATTGGAAGAGTGTCCCTCGACCTACTCATGTTTTTTTGTATGAGTTAAACATATGCGGTGATTATATAACATATTTCTATGAGTGAGCAGCGCAAAGTGATAGGAAGTTTTCTTAGGACACTGATGAAAACAGAAAATAATAATCAATGGTAGAAACCGTTGCCCAGAGCCGATAGACTGAAATCCAATTTTATTAACTGATAAAATTTTAGTAGGCGCAGGGGCTGAAGCTGGATGCGCAAGGCATCCAACTGGCAGAGATTGCAGCCTCCCTGAGTGCGCTCACGAAGGCACTCGCGCCGCCGGATAAGGAGGAGCCATCGTCGGCAGCCTTCTCCAAATAGGAAACAGAATAATAAAAATCCTAATTAACTCCAAATAGGAAACAAATAATAGAAATCCTAATTAACTCCAAATAGGAAACAAATAATAGAAATCCTAATTAACTCCAAATAGGAAACAAATAATAGAAATCCTAATTAACTCCAAATAGGAAACAAATTAGGATAGTTATAAAGAATGGAAATTAATTTAACGGCCCACAACAAGCCCACGAAGATGTGCTCAAGCCCATTCCCGCCTTCAGTAAACCCACAGGGCCTCTGCCTCTCTTTCTCCAAGCCCAGCTCCTGCTTTATATGAGACACCACCCCAGTCCCTGTTGTCAGTGTCATCATTCCTCAAAGAAAGGAGTAGAGCAGAATTGTTATGGAACTCGCTCAAGTATTTTGGTCAAAGAACAATCGGTGATTTAGAGTGTTTCACGTGTCTTGAGAACTAGCCTAGGCATAAATTCTGTGTTTGATTTATTGATAGCTACTATAGATTCTGGATTCGTGTTGTTTGTGATAGTTAACAGACAATTTAGATTTTAGATGGTCGCGTCTGACCTACTTTGAATCGTTAATCGAAGCCTTTAGAATTATGGTGTTGAAATTAATCTTTCATATGGAGTTTTCTATGATGATGCTCTCTCATAGGCACTATTATTTGATATAGGTGATTGAGCAAGTTTTTCATCAAGATGAGTCTCAAGTCGGGCCATTGGAGAACTTGTCCAAGAGTGTTCTTGCCGGTAAAGGACAAGCTATGGCTGCTTTAAAGGAGCTTCGGAACATCAGCAATCTTCTGTCAAAGATGTAAGAAGCAATAGTAATTGAAATGAAATCTGTACAGTATATATTTTGTAATTAGTTATTCTTGTGAGTGAAATGATCAGCTTACTTTGTACTACGTATTTTATAGGATTGTTATTATTATGAGTATTGTATCTTTGGTTAAGATATACTGCATCATGCCACTGTATTGTACTCTGGAACTTGTAGCATGATCAGCTTGGTGTTAGGTAACATCATCTGCAAATGCATTTTCATTGGTAGGATCTCGATACGGGTTCATAAGGGAAGTCTTCTTTTCAGATATTCAGAAGTATATTTGAGTATGGTATTTTTGTAAATTTGATCTTTCACCAGCCTATTCCAAATATCACCATCAGCAAGGTCATATTATTAATTTTCACCTTTTGTATCTATGCGACTATGCCAAGCATTTGAGCATTTCCAGCTTTAAAGTTGTGTGATACAATCAAACTTTGATGTGGAAAGATGTTATTGAGATGTAAACAATGATTGATTCTTCTCACGGATGTTTATACACCAAGGTGTGAAACAATTTTTTACACTAGTAGGCAAGGTCTTTTGACTCTGGGAATAGTTTATTCGTGTAGACTGTAGACACGTCTTTATTTGTAAGGACACAAATCCTTTTCTGCATAAACTGTAAGATGGTTACCTTTTGCTCTCACCAACACATATTTCCACAATTTGTAATAACAAAAATATTGTCTACGTATGATGATGTATAGTGCAGAAATATGGTGTACAACATCTTTGTTCGTGCAATAATTTAATCTTTAATCGGAGCTCTTTAATGGGAGTCTTCTACAAGTTAAGGTATTGAATAATGCTATGGAAATGTGTCAGGGATAATTATCGTGTTCAATTAATTCAGTTTATCTTTGCATTTTTGCTATAAATATATTAGCTAACTATTTTTGGGTCAATCTTATTTATGCTCAGCTAATCTCTTTTGTTAGGGAATCATCACCTTCAACTCATATAAAGCTGAAGGTTAAGCTTTTGTAAAACATAGCTATCACTTTATGCTACACGGTATAACAAAACGAAAGAAAATGCTAAAGAAAGTCATTTTCTTACATTTGAGTTTATTTTGAAAATTGGCCAAAACGTGATTAATGTTTCAATGCACTTCATCAAGTCACCTATCCAGTCATTCCAGTGGCAAAACCACACTCACCCGATCCCAAAAAAATAAATCCATTTCAATACATATTAGTATATTACATAGTAGAATGGGAGTAACTATAAACACAGTTCAAAACTCATATCAAAAGACAATTTTTACATAGTAGAATGGGTGGCTTCCAATTGCGAATGGAAACTGAACGAACACCTATCAGTCCTGATCTGGAACTAATTGAGTATTTCCTAATCCAGTTACTATAAAGTAGGATCAGACCAGTCCGAAAATTGTTAGGTCTACTTGACCAGCTCCAGATCAGTATTACGTGTTCTAGCTACGTTTCATATCTCTGGGGAGAAACAGGTCCCTCTCCACCCATAGATGAGTGTGGGATGACGATAATTGACAGTACAGAGACCTCTCCATCAAATTGTTAACTGGTACAGTTAATTTACTTCTCCACAGAACATTGGTTCTTCAAGATTTGTTCACATATGTTCTATTACATAAATTAAAGCATCGGTTCAAGAAAAGAAGGAATCCCTTACGCAGAGTGAGGCTAAGTGGCTGGCTAACTGGTTGTTTAAAGTATTTGCAATAAATTGTGAAGATTTCTCAAAATGTGAAAACACTACACCATATGTGCGGTTAGAGTGAGGAACATTATACCACAAAATCCTCAGATTATTTTAAGCAAGGGATCATCACAGATCCACATGTTTGAAAGCCACCTTCATCAGATTACATGTAGTTGTACAACCTGGACGACTCATATTCCTTGATCCAGGAATGTAGGTGTTCAGAGTCTCTTCCCCCAAATGGAACAATCTGAATGCTTGGGAACCCCCCTCCAAAAAAGGGACAATACCCAGTTCGGGAGAGCTAAAAAAAAAGCCACTCCAATATGGGATTGGAAAGGGTTGCTTGCTAGCAAACGAACATTGTTAAAATTAGTTGAATGTAGACATTTGTTTCAAAACTAAAGAGGCATAAATGAGCTCATTCCAAGCATCAGGGACTCCTGGGAGGCACCAATGGCTGCAATCTTGCCGTTTGCTGGAAACCTTTTTGCCATTAGTTGCCATTTTCATATATACAGATGGGTGGCCATCTTTGCGGAAATTGGTCAACCTTGTCACATTTAGTAGGACCACAGGTGTCTGCATTTCTTTGATCACTTCATCCACTATCTTCATTTTGGGAGGATAGTTATCAAGGATGGTTCCGTTCAAAACTGGTTCAGTTTCAGCAATACAGGAACCGCCAGAATCCCAATCCCCGCCTCTGTTTCCAAAATTGCAATCAAAATAAAAACCTTAACACACGAAACTAAAAGGTCTTCCTTTCCTGCTGCGTAAACATCAGAGAAAAGCCATCAACTTCAAAGTGCGCAACTTTGTTAGACATAATTGCCTCCTACTGACACTCTACCATCTTGATATGAAACCAAACTATTTTAAGAAAAAGATATTGCCCTGAATAGGAGTAAAAACGTTTGTGAATTCCTAAATAGGACTATCATGTTTTCATTTAATTAATATGAGCAATTTGTCTCATGTTTTGGCATTACCAAACTTTAAACATGACAATATTTTCCAAAGTTGGCAATAATTACTCCCATTTAGAGAATAAAAATATGATAGTCCTATTTTTGAATTCCAAAACGTTTTTACTCCTATTCCGGAATTTTCCCTTTAAGAAATTGCCCTAAATAGGAGCAAAACCATTTGTGAAATCCAAAATAGGAATACTAGGTTTTTATTCTATAAATAGGAGTAATTACTATTAAGCTTTGAAAATAAAGCCACTTATGGTCGTATATAACTGGTAATATTTTCCAAGCTTGGCACTACCTACAGCTATTGAGGAAATAAAAACATAGTACCCCTAATTTGAAATTCCAAAACGTTCTTACTCTACTAACTAGCACATACACAGTTTTTGTTTTGCCTTTTTTGATTACTTAGGTTAGATCAAAGCAAGCAGTATATTTTTAAGGGATCAGAATTCTTATAAAAAAAGAAAGCAGCACCAGTTTTTCTTGATTGTAGCAGAATTGCAACATCAGCTTAGAAAAGCAATTGGTGTTCGAAAAATATACTCACATTTGTAGATATAAGCATTTCAAAAAACAGTATTCAAAGTCATGGAATCAAGAACGATTTTAAATGGAAACATAAACTCATAACGCTAAATGATTATAATGATGTTACCCATTTACCCATTCTGAATGAAAATGAGTTTTACATTATCAAAAAAATTGGAAACTTAAAAATTTAGAAGAGTAAAGAATACTATTACAAGGAGTTAAAAAAAAGTTGGTTTCAAAATTTCCGCGAAGCAGTGACACACAAGAGAGATCTCAAATTAACTAATTAAAAGTTAAAGAGGCAGCTTTTTATAGTCTAATACAGACAAAAGATTAAAAAAAATACAAAAGTAAAACTAAGGTAGCTAAAGATGAAGCTTCTCATCATAACTTATGTAAAGTCTTTTCTTTTTTCTTAAAAATAGACAACAAAATATTGCTTTTCAAATATGGCACAAGTGATTTTAGCTATGAAATGTAGAATAAGTGCTAAATTCATTAAAAAAGCTTACTAAATTTTATGAACAGTGGAAAACTAAAGTTTGTGATAAAAAAAACTTTGTCAAGGCACCTGAAATGAGCAGATGAGTAGCCTCTGTAGAATACTATTTTTTTCTGCCCCAGATGTTCATCTACCCAACTTGCCCAGGTCTTCAAAGCTATTCTATAAGCTTCCATGGCATCAAACTTTGGGTAAATATAATCACCCACTTTATAGTAGTTTTCCCTGTAACATAGGACAATATATCACATACACACAAAGCTAATTACTCATATCAAAGCCTTCCATATTGTTGGAGTATTTGTCCCATAGCAGCCCATAACAGCCTAACTATTAAGCCAAATATTAGTAAGACAAATCAGACAAATCAGACTATGAAGCCTTAATATTATACTCCGTATAATTAAAGACTAGTTTGACTGTGGTTTGTTTGCTTGTTTGACACCACAAATTTAGAGTAGCTTGTTTACATTCAGCTGGTCTACTTATAAGGAACACATTGAACTAAAGGGACATGTTGGACTAAAGGGACATGGTGAAGCATTTGCAAACCAAAATATAAGATGGTAAAAAATTACAAAATGCTAATTGTCAGCTATTTATCAGAAGCATGCTATATCATAAAGTAGTTAAGGCCTCTTCATGGATAGTAGTGATTTACAATCATACAAAATTTAACCTTTAATCATCCAGAAGCAAGTAAATCTATAGTGCAATATGAAGATGAACAAAAGAGAGACGCACACATATAGGTAAATATGTTAAAAGAGAATTATTCACTTCCTAATCTTTTTGTACGGAGTGCCTTGCTAGGAAAAGGGCAAGTTAACATACCCCCTGGCTGTCTTTCCATGGGCCCACCAATGTCCAGTATTGAAAATGAGAATGTCAGCACGCTTCCAGCGAGGAGCTGATTTATCAATACGGTCAATAGATAAAGTTGGATTTGAGTTACCTTGTGCATTAATGCGCACTCCCTCTCTGACAAGAAAATGAGAACGCACAAATTCTACTGTGCAGTGGTAATCCTGTCAGACCATCAGAGTTTAATTCATTGTAATAATATTCCTGTAGCTAGTATGTTTTGATGCAATATAAAATAAGGCAACTCACCCATCACACTCCCTCATTCCTTACAAATTTCCTAGTTTGACTTTTACGTTTCTAGGAAATCAGATTGTTCTGCTAAAATTTCAGATATTCCTTGTTTATTGGGTGGGGTAAATACTAAATAATACCACAGAAGAGGATACTATTTGAGGGTTGTAGTGTAAATGGATAAGATTTTTTTAGTCAAATAAGAAAGGAAAGTTTTATTTAGGGAAGATCCTAAAATGAATACAAGAAGATTAAATAGAGAGGGGGAGTAATAGTGATAAAACACCGATTTCATTTATTATTATTACTCCCTCCGTCCCATAAAATAGTTCCCGCATTGACTTGGATCGGAGTTTAAGAAAGTAGGAATAAAGTGGAAATCTATGGTTGTGGTTGAGTAAGAAAAAGGTAAATGAATGTCAGCCACACAAAACTTTCCAAAAAGGGAAATGAGAACTATCTTTTGGGGCGGGCCAAAAAGGAAACCGGGAAATATTTTACGGGATGGAGGGAGTATTATTTAAATTATAGTTTTTTTTTTGTTTAAAGAGAGGGGGTACTACTCACCTCAACCACGGCTGACGGGACTTCCATTAGAGGCATTTCATTTTAGGCTAAATAATAATTCAACGACCTAGAACACATTTTGGGTCGTGTCAAAAAAACAATTTCACCAAACGTCTCAATTATTTTGTTACCTTTCACTCTTACACTTTATGTAACAGTTCAAATTATTTTCATTATAAATGACGTCTTTCTTCGGGTAAAGTTAAATATTTGACATGATCCAATGGTTAAAACTAATAGTTGATGCTAATGAGCAAAACAAATTGGACCATCAAATTATATGTTGATAAAAATGAAGTGTGTTTGATAGGAAGTTATATGCAGAATCATGATTACTGGACGTTGTAATCACCTCAAATTTAAAAATGTAGTAGCCTCTTCCCTTTGTTATTTTATATCCATGTGTCTCATACATTTTACTCTTATTGACAAGTCCTTCCCGAAGAAGGCAGAGCAAAGACTCAAACTGATTGCGGTTCATGGAATCTCCAACAAGCATCAGCCTTTTCCCTCTTAATCTCACCAAAAAGTCTGTTGCATTAAACCTGCAGAGAAAGCAACAAGCATGTGCACATTATATAGAAGTGTATGTTTTATTTAATTAATCACAATTTCATCTGCAAGTACCACTTTAAATCAGCAATGTTTATTACAAACCTGCGATAAATTTTCTCAAATCAGGCAAGTTAAGAAATGTAGAGATTGAATTCACTTAAAAACCCGAGTAAAGTCAATAGGGTAGTTCTGATTCCCAACAGAAAATTAACTGCAAGCAAATAATCAACCATCTTCCTCTCTTGTTTTGCTGCGGTGGATTTTGATGGAAGGACTGATAAAGAGTGTGACAGAAGTACATAGTGGGAGTGTGAAGTAAATGCTAATGGAACACTTAACATGCACTCCATCTTTCCCAAGTTGGGATGCCAAGTTTGAGCAGATCTACTCTCTTAAAGAACGTTTAACATACACTATATTTCCCAAGTTGGTTTTCCAAGCTTGACCGGAACGGGGTATGAGGAATTGAATAAGTTGTGATGAGATTAATACTACAAGTCACAGATTTAATTCCAAAAAGTGACAATTCTGTTTAGAACAACCATATTAGCAAAATTCAAAAAAAAATTAGGGAGGGAGGGGGTATTTTAGTAATTTATAGTTCTCCAAGAAGTCTTTTATAGTACAATTAACTCTTACAGTTTTAGTTCCACTAAGGAAACAACTCGAGAATCACAAAGAAGAAATGCAAGTCATAGCTAAAGAATGATAGTATGGTTGTGTGAATTGAAACATTTCAAGTTGAGAGCAGTGCCATTCTACATAGATAGGTATGAAAGAAAATTAACCTCGGAAGATCACATCCATCCGGCTTCCATTTCCATTTCTGATTCCCAACAGAAAATTAACTGCAAGCAAATAATCAACCATCTTCCTCTCTTGTTTTGCTGCGGTGGATTTTGATGGAAGGACTGATAAAGAGTGTGACAGAAGTACATAGTGGGAGTGTGAAGTAAATGCTAATGGAACACTTAACATGCACTCCATCTTTCCCAAGTTGGGATGCCAAGTTTGAGCAGATCTACTCTCTTAAAGAACGTTTAACATACACTATATTTCCCAAGTTGGTTTTCCAAGCTTGACCAGAACGGGGTATGAGGAATTGAATAAGTTGTGATGAGATTAATACTACAAGTCAAAGATTTAATTCCAAAAAGTGACAATTCTGTTTAGAACAACCATATTAGCAAAATTCAAAAAAAATTAGGGAGGGAGGGGGTATTTTAGTAATTTATAGTTCTCCAAGAAGTCTTTTATAGTACAATTAACTCTTACAGTTTTAGTTCCACTAAGGAAACAACTCGAGAATCACAAAGAAGAAATGCAAGTCATAGCTAAAGAATGATAGTATGGTTGTGTGAATTGAAACATTTCAAGTTGAGAGCAGTGCCATTCTACATAGATAGGTATGAAAGAAAATTAACCTCGGAAGATCACATCCATCCGGCTTCCATTTCCATTTCAGATACTGTGAATCCGGCCTGCCATTGCGTTGACAGTCAAATGCCTCATCCACATAGGGGCAAGATCCAGGACTGTAAATCGGTTGATCATCATCTTTCACCCAAACCCCTTTGTAGAAATTACACCCTTGGGCACTATCAGCTCGATGAGTCTCTTTCTTAGTAGAAATGTTGATCTCCTCTGAATCAGACATCGACGGCACGGACGTCACAATACTCGCTACCTCGTAAACTTTCGATTCTGCCACTTCCCCTCCCATTTTTTTTGAAGAAATGGGCGGAGTTGGTTGTTCATCGGTTTTATCGAAATCTGGGCTCGAAGCGGCGGATACATTATACTCGTCTTGTAACAGAGCGGCGGTAATTATTCGAGGGGAAAGGAGAGAGGCAGGGTGGCGGGACTCTGAGAATAGATCTCTGTAGGTTGTGAGTTTGGGCTCGAGAGACAGCTTGTTGAAATAGAACAAGCTGATGAGGAGGAAGAGAAGGAGCAATGCGATGGTGTATAGGCCCTTCTGTCGGGAGAGATGAGTGGAGCAGGAAAAAGCCGCCATGGCGGATTCAAACCCCCGATTCTACCTGGGTTTTGTTCTTTTGATTGTCTTAGCAAACAAATGTTTTGTCTTGCTTGTATTTTGTCACAAAAAAGGATTTTATGTTGTTTAAATAAAATAAGTAAAAAAATGTTGAAAAATGCTATTGGTACATAAAGTGTATACAATCTTTGTTCACACTCCGTAATTGCTTGTGTACACAGACAACTCGTTAAGAAAGAGACATCATTTGTCTCTCAATTGTCTGTGTATACAGGCGATGTGTACACCAAGCACAAACCAACACATTTGTCTCTCAAATGTCATATGTTGATTCAAATGCCCAATTCTTAATTTCACCAAATTGGGGGATTTTAAAACATAACTAATTAAATGATTTAACTCAATTTTAAATAAATGTAAATTGAACTATTTGAATTCATTTTTAGTTCCTTTCTATTCAAATTCGCAACTCTTGGACAAAAAGATTGGTTTCCTCACCCCCTCCCCTTTTCCTCATAGGACTAGCCTTCAAGTCTTTCCCTCCCATTTCCTCCAAACTCCAAAACATACCCTTAGAGTCTAGTTTGTAACTTTACCCATATTCCTCCAGGTATATATCTCATATGTTAATGAAAAGTGCACTACTTTAATTTCATTTATCACGCGTTATTAACACTTTTCCAAAAGAAAATAATGTATGAGGCCATTCACCTTCTTCGGCAACTTATGGAGAAGTATAGAGACACTCACAAGGATATGCATTTGGTGTTCATTGACTTTGAAAAAGCATATGATAGGGTACCTTGAGAATTTCTTTGGTGGGCCTTAACTAGGAAAGGCATATCACGCAAGTATATCAGCGTCATCATGAATATGTATGAGAATTGTACTGCAAGTGTCCGTACTGATGTAGGGAGGATTGCGGAGTTCCCGATTACTATCAGAGGGCACCAAGGATTGGCTCTGAGCACTTTCTTATTTGTCATAGTCATGGATGAACTTACGAAGTCAATTCAAGACGATATACCGTGGTACATGATGTTTGCCAACAATATTGTATTGATCAACGAGACGCAATAAGATCTTAAAGCAAAGTCAGAAGTATGGCGGCAAACATTGAAGAACAAGGGTTTCAGACTAAGTCAGAGCAAGACAGGGTACATGGAGTGCAAGTTTGGTGGAGGTAGAAGCAGTGGTAATAGCGGAATTACTCTAGATGGTAAGGAGATACCGATTAGCAATATGTTCTGTTACTTGGGTTCCATAGTTCAGAAGGACGGTGAGTTAGATGAATATGTATTCTATAGAATCAGAACATGGTGGATGAAGTGGAAGAGTGCGTCATGATTTCTATGCGATCGAGGTATGCCGACTAGACTGAAGAGTGAATTTTATAGGACAACAATTAGGCTTCTTGCATTGCTGTATGGCGTAGAGTGTTGGGCGGTGAAACAATGTCACATTCAAAAGATGAGTGTGACAGAGATGTGCATGCTGCATTAGATATTTGGATGTGTGGGCATACTTAGAAGGACCGCATGGGGAATGAGACAATCTAATCAGACAATCAGACCGTGTTGGATGAGAGTAGCACCTATTGAAGACAAGACGCGGGAGTCACGCCTAGGTGGTTTGGTCATGTACGTAGAAGATTGAGTGATGCACCTGTCAGACGAGTTGAGATGTGTGGAGAAGAGGCGTGGAAGAGATGGAGAGGAAGGCCCAAACGGACGTGGTTTATGGGAGTCCAAAACGGTATGCTTTTTCTTGAGTTAGATGAGGGTATGACTTTATAGAGAGCAAAGTGGAAGACGAGTATTCGTGTGGATGAGTGATCTCGTATTATCTCTTTCCCTCATCTTTTTTTTTCTTGTTTTTTATCCTTTCATCCTTATTTATATAATCTTTTTTATAATAGCTTTTGCGGCACTGGGTAATGATGATGATCCTTATTTATATAAACATTATTTTTATCCTTTTTATTTTATCATTTTTATGTATGTTTATACTCCCTCCGTCCCCTTTTAAATGGGACGGGAGATGGTGGCACGGGTTTTAAGAAAAGTGAGTTTGTGTGGTTGATATTAATTGATAAAGTAAGAATAAAGTAAGAATGATTTTGAGCCACACAAAGTTTACCAAATAAGGTATGAGACAATTAAATAGGGACATCCCAATATGGTAAAACGGGACATTTAAAAGGGGACGGAGGGAGTATCTTTTTATATAATCTTTTTTATAATAGCTTTTGAGACTAAGGTTTTGATGATGTTGTTAGTTGTCGTCTTTCTTTAATAATTTACATCTAATGGAGTACGTGAATGTTTATTTATAATGTTAATGAAAAGTGCACTCTTTTGATCTGATCCATAAAAAAACATAAGTACTTTGCGCAAAAAAATGTTCTCAAATATGAAATCAAAAGTAGTTGTCACTTATCAATGCCTTATTCAGATGAAGCCAGACGTAGGGCTTTTTAATAGCTGTTAGCTTTTAGTGACTGAAAAGATCTTAAAAACAAAAGGTGGTAGCTGTTTGATAAAAAGCTGACTGTTTGATTTAGTTCGATTTGGTATACAAGCTGTTAGGATTAATTTATATTAAAAGTCACGAGCTTTTCTTAGATGCTACTCCCGGTAGCATCTCAAAAAAGATCTTTTAATTTTTGAAAAGCTCTTAAATATTGTCATGCCAAACACACAACTAGAAGCTTTTAGAAACTTTTTGAACAGTACAAAAGCTAGAAGTCAGGGACTTATGTCCGCCAAACATAGCCGTATTGTGTGATACAGCTTTAGCTTTTTGAAGAGCTTTTCATTGTTTGAAGGCTAATGTTTGTTTAATCATCTCCATGTTTGGCACACAAAAGATTAGTAATTTCTAACTTTTTTATTACGGAGTATTATAAGTCTTTAAAATTTCAAGTAAACTGAAGGAATAATTTCCACAAAAAAAAAAACTTTTCACTGAACTTTTTATAACAAATTTCCAAAAAGTTAGAATATTTTTGATTTTTTTTCTTATAACAATTTTAATTATAATTACTTTATAGTTTTTGGTTATACTTTATGATTTATGAAGTTGAATCATTTTTAGTCTATAGCAAATTGTTGATATTATTTATGCTTCATTAGTTAAAAAAAAAGCTAGTACATTTCTTAAACGTACATGTTGGATTATCGTAATTTTTATATTATATTTAACATTTGTATTTGTTGTTGGCAAAATTTTAAACAAAAAATTTAAATTATATTTAACATTTGTATTTTTTTTTAAAATTTTGCCAACTTCCTTATTTAGTCGTCTAAAAAACTTTGTCATTTCGATTCAAAATAATAAATACTACTTATGTAGTTCTCTCTTCGCTACAAAAATCTCAACAACACGGTTTTTATTGTATTATTCGACATGCAAATCAAAGTTGACCAAGTTTAGTGAGACAAGATTATTTAATTATCCTAACTTTTGCCGGGGTGATCTTAACTATGAAACTATCTAACTTGTGTTTGGGAAATGGGTGTATAAAGAAGCCATTTGATAACACTATTTTTCGGCTTATCAGCCAACTTTTTCACCAAACACGTAACATTTGTGTTCGCGCGCTGAATTGTGTAATAAGCAGAAAAGTAAGGTTGGAGTTACTTTTCTGACCGCATTAACTGAAATTATTATAGATGACCATTTTAGCTATTTTACATATAATTTTTATCTTTATTTTATTAATAAAATATATTTTAAAAATATTTTTTTCTTAAATCAGCAGAATCAGCCAATGCAGCCAGAACTTCATATATTACAGCACAATCAACTAAAACAGCCGATTTTCATCCCACCAAAGGGACTCATAGTTTACATGGTATCTAAACTCGTCCATATACAATATTGCACCAGACATGTCAAAGTACTTGTCCTGAACAAAATATTTAGTGTACTTTTAATTCCGCAACTCCACAACAGACGAATTCGAGTACTTATCCAGCCTCTTTTCCCAAAAATAAAGGGAAAGAAATCAGTTTCACCATATGAAATACGAATAACTAAGAAGAAATAAGACCGTTCTTTCTTGATGTAGCAATCAATGTATGATGAAGCAACTTGAACCAAATCAACCAATGCGCTACTCATACAACATGTTTATTAACAAACAAATGCTTCAAGCAAATTGAAGAAAGATTCAGATGGGTCAATGCCAAAGGCAAAAACTCACCACAAAATATTTAGTCGCTGCATCCTTGCAGGCTGCAGCTAATAAAAAATCAACAGCCGTAGTCTAGGGCGTTGGTGGACAAATGAGCTCTATAGTACACAAGTACTGCTAATGCATATGTTACATCTACTTGTTGGGAACGCCTTGCAGACTGCATTTCGAGATAGACCTGCATTAATCCAGTGCAACTAATTAATTGGGGGGGGGGGGGGGGGGTGTTGGACCATCTTTATTCAGTGTGCTTAAACATTACCCGGCAAAATAGGCGCATTAAACACTATCTACTTTGCTTGTTATAGATCTAGCTTTTGCCTCTGCTGGATCCTGTGGAAATCATTGGCTTGCATTTCAATCAAGAAAAACAGAAAATAAAATTGTAGCAGCATAGACATGACACGCTTGGTTTGGAACATAGAATTTAAGATTCATTCAAATTTCTTGTATCATAAATTAGAAACTGCTAAAAAGAGCGTATTGATATTAATTAAACTACGTGTAATAAGTAAGGCAAGGAGCATGTAATCAAATAAGTTGTATTGTAGATCAGAAACTTATGCCAAACCAGTCACTAAACAAGGCCAGTCCAACATTGTATTGTAATTTCTGCCTAACAGATATCATAGACGCCTAGACGGTGTAAATGATTAATCTTGAACAGATAAAAAGTCAAAAGATATGCTAAGCTCATCAAAGGTCCTAAACCGGCAACAAGGAAATGAAGACCACTTGATTGGACGGCATGATGTCAAATGACCCTCTACCTAAAGGGTATTCCTCGAATCCTTGATTCTACAGATCTTATCATCTATGTCTAAGAAACTACACAAATCCAAATAATTTATAACCTGGCTAAAAGAAAATGTCAAGTCAAAGACCAATATGCCCCAAGTCAACAATGGCTAGCATATGCAAGT